AAAAAAAATAGATCATAACTAAATTTATGCTATTTTTAAGCTAAAATTGTTACACAAACTCTACAGCTTAAGAGATAAGTCTTCACTAGCAAATTGTTTCAGAGTGTTGAAATTTAATTTTGTCTCTGGGTGATTAGCAGGATCTGTATCCCAGCATTATTTATAAAGTTCTATATATTTTAATAGAGTTCCTTTGATAGGCTTTTCTTTTTCCCTTTGGAATATAAAACCAGGTATAATAAGTAGATCAAAGGATTTGAAAGGAGGTCTATCACTTGAAATTTTCCATAGTAATTTTCCAAAACTATAGATGTCAGATTTCTTATCACGTATGTATTTTGGTACAATAAAGTATTGTTGTTCAAAGTAAGCCATTATTTTATGAATAGTTAGTTGGATTTGAAGTCATCATGGATGTTTTATTTATCTATTTGATAATCCAAAATCTGCAATTTTTAGTTGTTTTTGATTAATTAAGATATTTCTTAAATGCTAAATTATTAAAGCATTAATGAATTAAATTCTCTACAATGTATATATCACTTACTAAATCTCTATAAACAATATTATTATCATGTAAGAATAAAAACCTGAGAGCTATTTCTCTAGCAATGCAAAGTTTATCTGTCCATTGTAAATGTTTAAAATTTGGTTTTCAGGTATTCTTGTAAAGTTCCTTTGTTTGTATATTGCAAAACTATATGATAATATCTATCATAATCTAAATATTTGCATTAAAGATTTTAAAATATAATAAATAAATATAATATAATTGTTAAGCTAATTATAATATATATAATATAGAGGTATGGCGATTTAGTGTAGTGGTCTAGTTGTCACCCTCTTCAAGTGGCAAGTCTAGAGTTCAAATCCCACTAGTGATGATATTTGAAAAATAGATCTGTGTTTGGTTGACAGCTATGCTTATTAGTTAGATCTAGAATTAATCTGTAACTTCGGTTACACCATCTTGTAATGAGAGCTTTGGCAAAATGAATTGGTATAACTGAAAACCCATTTAGGAAGTTCTGAATCTGGATGTAACAGTGATCTTCAATAGTACCACAGGAGGGCTGAATTTAAACCGGGCCTGAGATCAGAAAACCAAGCAACCAGGTCCTATAGTGAAGGACACACTAGCCAAACTGCTGAGTTGTCGCACTGGAGGAGAGGGCATACACTTCAAAAGTGTGAACTAAGAGAAGGGCATACTTCAGGCACCTAAAGTTTGAACAGACCAACCCTTCCGAGTTGCTAGCTGGAAGTAAGAGAGGGACCAATAGAGAATCTAGGTAAGAAGACAGTTTCAAGTGTAGATACTGGGGTTGTTGTAAACTGTTAAGGGCAATGAGTACATAATAGAAAACTAATTAGAAAGGTTATGGCATAATATACAGATTGGGTTATGGTAGTACTCTAAAGGGTAGCTTGAGATACGGACTCAGTATCGGCAGCACAACAAATACTAACTAGGAAGATATTATAGAACATGCAGGTGAATGCATATGTAGGACATGTACAGCTCTGTTGGGCTTACTTTCAAGAATAGTAAAGTGTTCTAAGTTGACTGTTTATGTGGTGGTGTCGCAAATCTATATTTGAATAGTGTGTTACACCCTTGTTAAGATGGGTGTCAGGCCAATTATGTTAAGACCAGAAGGTTTAAATAGGTACTCTTGTAGTTGGGGTGCAGGTACGGCAAATAGTGTAGAAACCTTAGCATAGTACAACTGCTTTGGGTAAACTACTTAAATTAAGCACCAAAAGTGCACATGTGGCTTAATGTACCTTTGTCTAAATGTATAGTGTCTGAACTCAACTTAATAAAAATCGCCAACCAAGAAGGTTTTCTTTAATTAACAAAAAAAAATAAAATAAAAAATTAAAAAATATATATATAGCTTAACTGATCAAGGTTTGGAGTTATTTACTAGCCTTTTGCTTCTGCAGGTAGGTTTGAAAAGTTTAATACCTAGTAAATCAACACTTAGGTATACTTCCTCAACATTGGTTTCAGGGTTTTCTTTGCACTGAATAGGATGACAATAGTTGCAAGATATTTACATTGTAGATATTTCTATATAGGAAGGCAAATATATTGAGTCTTCTTTTTCTTCTTTAGCCACATTTTTTAACACTTCTATTATAAACTTCAGGGCCTAAAGCACTTGTTTTTTATGAATTTCACAGATACCAAATGCCTCATTGATTATTTCTTGTAATTCTGCTGCTTGTTTCTTGGTAAATTCTTTAAATAGAGAAGTATGCTTTCTTTTCAACCTTATTATAGCCAAGCACTTAGGTGTAATATGCTTATTTAATCTACAATAAGAGCATGGGTTTTTCATCAAATGTTTTTTTGTATGACTTATAGTTTCAAATTTTTCTGGTAGGAATTGGTGATCGGGTTTTTCCTGGTTCACACACCCTTCCTGAGTCTTTGACTTTGGTTGTATGTTCTAACACTGTAATAAATATTTCTTCTTATTTATTATTTCTATTTTCTCCAATGACTTATATTAATCATTTGAAAAATACTTTCTATTTGAATTTCATGGTTTACTACCAAAATATCAGATCTGAAATTAGTGAGTCTGTCACTAAATCGAAATAAGGTCTGTGTAATCCTGCCTTAGGTTACTTTAAGGTCAAAAGAGGTGTGTTAGATTTGGACGAGTGGTTAAAAATGAATGTACACTCCCCTGACAAAAGTCACCGGCTGTCGATCATTTTTAGTAATAATCAGCAAGCGAAAGGATTCGTTGAAAATCTGTTTGTTCGTAATTGTTAGAAGATAGATTGTTAATACCTATATGGTTAGATAGTATAAGACCTGTAGTTTTCAAAAA